CTATTATTTAATTTAGTCAAAATTCTTCGATAGACATAAAGTGTACGAATATTTATGGGATTTACTGTATACAGAATGAAACTAAACTGTCAGGCGTACCAAATATATTTTTTACGCTGACTGGTGTACGTAAAATTCCAAAATTCCCGAATGAGTATTCGCGGCAGCTAACTGGTTAATGCCGTTATTCAAACATTTCAGAAAGCCCCAATCTAACCAAGAATCGGAAATTTCTAAACAGTACACGAATCATCGTAGACTCCATCTTCAATTATCGCCCATCAGAGATTACCAGGCGCTACGATTCGAATCGACATCGTCAATATTACGCGATTAGCTCCCCTCGCGGATCCTAACAATAATACCAACTAATCCCAATAATAATATTGTTCCTTTCGTCGCTCGTATTCGCTCGTAATCACGCCAGTCCCATTGAATGTGTCTTAACTAACCGAGTCCCATGGTTTTGCTCAATTTCGTTAACAGACGCCGAAGTAACTTTACATGTCGCGTCTCCTAGTCGCGGGATTGTAATAGAATTCCCCGGCAATCTGTCCTTGTTTGCGTCGGGTCCGCTCGGTTTGCGGCCGCGGCGCTCGTTGAAATTGTTACAGGAACGGGGTAGTAAGAGGTAAACCGCTCGAGCAATTCACGTGACAATTACAGAACGTCACGCTGAGAGAGGATCCAGCATGCGCTGGCGAAGTCCGTTTAATTGAAACCCACCTTGAGGTCCTCGAACGAGGACGTTCCACCTTGGAGGTTCGCCGCGAGTTTGGCTTTTCGGTCAGCGACGTCGCCCGCAGGGCTCTCGGACGCCCTCCCGCACGATTTGTACTGGAAATCAACTGCTATTTAATAATAATCGCTGAGTTACAGCAGACTCGAACGGCTGAAACGCGAGGAATGATTTATTTTTTGGTACTTTCTCGACGATCTGCTCCAGGTCCGACAGCTTCTCCGCGGCGGCGATTAGTTCTGTGCTGAGCCTCCGCAACTGAATAATTTCAATTGTACATTGTGTTGCGTGGAAGTTAGGGTTTAGGAGTCGAGCTAGATGAATTTTAAGTTACTTCGTTCTCGAGATGTGCTGAGGTCACCTTCTGTGCTTCCTTCTGCAAGATTTTGGGTGAGGTTTAGGCAATTGTCCTCCTTTTGTTAACACGTTGACCGCAACGTCATGCAGGTATTACAGTCAGAATGTGCTTTCAGGTTTCGTGGAACCTGCCTGTGTCTGATAGTCAACGTGTCAGACGTTTTATTCTAAGTATCGTGGTTCGATTGGACACTAACTACTTTGATCACCACCTCCTCGTACTCCGTCTTCTTGTCCTTCAACGCGGCGACGTCTTCCAGTCTCTGCAATAGTCAGCAGTCTGTATACAATCGTTTAACCCATTCACTGCCAGGAAAATTTAAGGCTTTTTGCCTCGGACGCCAAGATTTAATACAGATGTATATTGAATTTATTGTTTCAAAAATTTACGATCTTCTTTTGCAATAATTCGTGACACAAAAGGCTACAAATTTATCCCTCGAGTAATTGCAATTAATTTAAATTTGGAGAGAACTCATAGTTGGCAGCGAATGGGTTATATTAGATATCGCCACGATAAACAACCGACGCACCGTTCTGTTCTCCCTCACCACCTTCAGCATCTGTGCGTTGGACTTCTCCATTTTTCTGATCACCTGCGATCCACGATCTCGTGATTATTAACCTCGTATATTATTTTGTTTGCTGTTTCATTATAATTAAAAATGGACTTCCTGAAAATCTGAATCTAGATGCAAGCGTGGAGACGTTAACGAACGTGTGAAGCCATTACTAAGAGAAAATTTGATTCTAGAGACTTTCAGATGGGCATTTAAATATCTCCTGTGCATCGAAAGTTATGAGAAGGATACCAAAAATTCAAGCAAATCTTAGATTCGTAGCTCTTCCGAAAGTTAACCCTACTCGTAAAACTATTCATGAAAGTGTCATATAGAAATAACATCCTTGTTCGTCATGAAATTCTTCAAATCTATATTTATATCTACTTTGTATTCGACAAAAATGACGATACTCACAACGGTGGCGTACCACAGAGCCGCATAGAAGATAATGTGCATCAACAAGCAAATGTAGACATTGTCCAAAACGTACGTCCGTATGAACGACTGCGAAGCAAAGAAAATTTAGGAATCTATGCAAATCTATATTAATATTATAAGGAAGTAAAATTTGTTCGTATGTAGGGGGTAATCTCCGGAACTAATGAACCGATTTCAAAATTTTGTTCAGTGGTTAATAGAAAGCTACTACGCTGTCCTTGAGTAATATAGGCTATGTTTTATTTTGATAAAAATACGTTCTTAATTTGAAATGTAAAAGCTCGTGAATAAAGTCGACAGAAAAGCGTTGCTTGTAGTAACTAAATGTAAACTTACCCTGCGATCGTAAACGTCGAGAAGTTTCAGGACGGGATAGGACCTAGTCAGCCTGTAGAAGTAGCTGTGCCTCTGCGAGAACATTTTCGCGAGAGTGATTCATCGGAGCTCGCGGGGACGAGGAAGCCGAGAAGGAAAATGTCAACGATAAAAAATGCACAAGCCCGAGACACGTCTCCCCGATAAACCAGAGACGAGGTTCCTGTCGACCGACGCTACAACATCGCGAATTCGGCCGGGGTTGAATAATCGACTGTCGAGGAATCGAGTTTCCCGCGAGTCGTATTCCAGACATCCTATTCCGTGGTAAAATGAGCCAGCCGTCGAAATAATTCTATTGATTTTGGTAATCGAAATTCGAATCTGCGAACCCGGGATCGATGATAACGGGGAATCAATTGAAATTACTATTCCGCGAGGATTGGCGTTTAACGAAAGGGAAGAAAAATATTCGACGCGGAAAATCGCGCGGAGTTAATCCGAGGTTAGTAATGCGAGAATAGAGCGAACGAAATGGAAAATTTAATTAGATTAGAACTGACGGTGTACGAATCGTGCTTTCGTGTGTTGAATTCGTGTTTCGCGACGGTTTGGTGTATATATTAGCGATACTCTAAAATTTTAATATCATTAATTGCTGCAAGTGCCGCGAGTAGTTGCAGCTGAAAAATGAAAGATTAGATTATGAAATTTATTTGACACTATGAAGTAACACGTCCAACCTGGCGTGACTCACCTGTTCATAATGGCTTCATATTATGCGATAGCGTGAACCACGGATGAGTCACGCTATTTTTCCTTTTTTCATCGTTTTCACGGCGGTAATCAAGAGTGGAATTCAATTAGAATTACAAAGAACGAGTGTTCAGACAAATGCGGTACATTTCGACACCTTAATTAGACGCATTGAATCCTCTAGTATCGGTCGACTTTTTAAGAGAGCATAATACTCGGAATAAATTTAACTTTCGCAACTCCAAATACGATTAAAAAGCTTAACCTTTAGAATTCCATTCGCAGAGTCGTAATATCGTCCTCGAAATAGAAATATAATGGAATTCTTCGTGCAGCATCGTTACCGAGAACACGGGGTTTATAACGACAGTCAGTCGTGCTAGAAATCACGATCGCGACGATTATCTGCTGGAATATTATTAAAATGCGTCCGCGCGAGCCTGAACGGATGACTTAATTTTGCAATCGCCTGCGTTATCGATCGGTCTTTGCAATAACGACGGCAGAGCGCTGCTGATAATGTCGCCGATAACGGAGCCGCGAAAAGTAAGAAAATTAAAAGATAAAAAATGTGATTAAACGGGACGGAATCATTACTATCGAGTCTGGTCTCTGGGTTAGGTTAGAGGAATATGTAGGAACAGGAATATTATTCTAAACTACCAGACTATGGAAAATGGGGAGTATAAAAGAAGATAGAAAAGTGAAAGAAGGTAAAATAAAAATAAAAACAACATTGTTGAAATCTTCAACACTAGAAATTCCTCGAACTCTCAGTCTTAACTCTAAATATTCTAAAATATTCTGAAATATCGTCTACCAGATTATTCAACAATAGGAAGTATAATACCAAAGTAACACATAACAAAAAGAACGTTGTTGAGACCTTTAGTATCGTTGCTCAAAAAATGAATCGATCCAAAACACCTGATGACACAATAGTGTACAATAAAAAAGATTGCAGAATCTACTAAAAACGCGACTCGAATCGTGAATCATTATTATCCTTGGTCGAGCATGGCCGACGAGACGCAGTCAAAGCGATCCCATCGCGTCCAACTCGTAAAGTAATTCGCCGATGATTTACGGAGATGCTAATTGGCCAGCGGCGTCCGCGCTTTTAGCTGGCCAGGAGAGCTTTATAATTTTACGAGGTTCGATCTAAAACCGCGGCGTCGAAATTATCTTCGGAACACTGGTCGCGATATATCGCGCGTATAATAACACTTTGCCAGCCCCGGTTTCCATGTTACGCGCGATTTCCTCGCTTGATTAAAGAAGTATGCGAAATGCGGGCGTGTTAACGTCCCACGCGAAACGAGAACTTATTCAAATATGGTGCTTAACATCGATCGCACGGTTGACTTGGAGTTTGGTTAATAATTATGAGAAGAGTTTAGCATGAAAACGTCGAGAGAATCGAACCGTATATTGCGAAACGTGTGTATATGATATTGGATATTAATTCATGTTTGTATGATTTCACTCTGCTATTTCAATTTCTATTTCTGCTCTCTGGCGTACGGGGTTTGCTCTTGTTTCGTTGGGGAACGGTTATCCGTTCTTTCATTATTCGTTTTTGATAGAGGGATCTGTTTAAACCTAACCTGTGATTCGATTAATTTAAAATTAAATTACTTTACTCGGTGTATACAGTTTTTATAGAAAAATTCAGAGCACATTTGTTGGCGGTATATATTTTTCATATAAAGAGGGGAAGAGATGCATGTAAAAATAAAACTCAGAGAAGGAACACGAGACAACAAAGGTTGAGTGGCACTGCTGTAAATAGATCATCACCGACACCTACATTTGCTAAATTAACATTGCAGGTAGACGTGTTTCTAAAGGAGTCGATGAACCGAGGTAGATCAACGAAACTGAATTCTGGCGCTTAGCAACAGTCAAACGTAATTGTACCGTCTAACAACTACTCTCATTCACGCTCGACTTAGAAATGCTGTTCACCAATAATGAAATCTACGTAGAATGCAATTTACTTCTCCAGTCGACAGGTACAGTGCCTCATTTACTCTATAAATGTCCCGAGTAACCTCTTAATTGCACAAACATTATTTTCATACGATAAACAGTTCTACTATATAATTAAAACATAAATTTCTGTCAGCAATCAACCTCTTTCTTTAATAAAGTAATAACTTTTTATATGAGCTTGAATCTGTATAAACGTGAAGGTTTTTAACCCCTTGGCATTTCACTGAAGGCCACGCATGCCGTAATCAGATGTTTCGACACATTTTCTTCCAAGTTCAAGCTACAAAGGGTTAAAAAGATATTAATATTTAGCAATCCACCTCCTCAAAATTTTGTATAAAACCAAACGAAAAATCCCTAAAACTGCACGCAAGCTTCTAAATGCCAATAGATTCCACCCAGTCCTGATCCAAACAGCCCACACTCGTCCGACCACGTTAAACCATATTAGAAATTAATCCCCCGGCGATCGTTCGCCCTTTCGCGGTAGCGATCGGCGTCAGCGTTCGATTAAATAAACAGGAATTAGCACATGAAAGGCTGCGGTGGTCGTGACTCGCCAGTTACAGGGGCGGAGGGGGCGTTAGACGCCACTTGTCGTTTCCCATCGCGCCTTCGGGGGTCGGGGGGGTTGACTAACTAAATACGAGGCACCGAAATGGGCCCCGGGGCCAGGGTTAAACCAAGCTTAAAAAGCGTCGCTGGCGCAGGGGGTTGAATTCCACGCGCAAACACAGTGGCACCACTGCGAAAACACTTGAGATCACTTAGGAGGAATCTCCGTCGTGTCACCCTTCCGCGATTTCCGGGACCCTCGTGCCTCGATACAACGACCCCGTTGTTTATGTAAAACAGTAGCCGATATCGACGCTCTGTAGTCTCGCGGAGAACGCCTGGGAATCCACTTGATGCGTCAAAAACGTCAGTTACACTGGTACGCGTGGGTGGCACCTATGGACGTCGAAAGTTTCCGCGGAGGGTTGTTTCTGACGGACTAGAGGCAGTGATTCTTAACCATTAGCAGCAGTAAATGTCGGGAAAGTGGGTGAATAAATTTTATATTTTACAGTTTTATTTTTGGTGGTGGGAGTTCTTTTGGAAATTAATTTTTCTTTGGAAAGTAGCAAAATAGATATTATTGGTGTTTAGTTTTAGATCAGGCTGCAGTCCTCTTGTGTTCAAGTGTGCAGTGGAGACATTTAATAACAATTTACTGTTTTATTCCGACCAATCCTAATCCAGATCTCTAATAATAATTTGCTATTTCAAACTGTGACAGCTTGAAACGGTTAAGAACCACTGAGGTTGGAGGAACAGGGGATGAAGACCTTGTCGGTCGGAATTCAGGAGTTTCCGAAGCCAGGGTGCGTGGTGTTATTATTTGGAAGATGGGGCGAGGGTGGCGTGTAGGGATAAATGATTCGTGTCGGGGATGGAATCGCATGGCGGCACTGTCGACCGCTGATTGCTGATTACTTTGTCGCGTGGTCAGATGATACATGCTCCCGCGATAATATTACAATTATTAAAAGCAGAAGTAGGGAATATTAGAGGAATTTAAGGATCGAGAAATGAATGCTTAGAATGATTATAGGTATGTAAAAACTTGGTTTATTCAACTCTTACACAATAATCGTCGTACCTAAATTACCGTCGCGTCACGTTGGATTCTTCTTCGACTTATTCTACCTTCAACTGTCTTCATGTTCTGTCACTGTCCTCACTTAATACCACGGCCATTGCCTTGCATCTCCATTAAAACCAGCTATCATCAACATCTGCTCCAAGTCTTTATCGCCAAAAGCAAAGCTCGCCTTCCAGCCAGCAAAATCCAAATCCTCGCTTCCATTCTTCGACCAGTCGCCAACAGCTCCAGTATCTAAATTTCTTCGCAGCATAGATCATGTAATCATCCCGCGGGAGTAGGAGGGATCGGATGGGGGAAGACAGAGAGAAGTTCCGCGACCCGGAGTCTCCAGGCGTCGTCGTCCTTCGCCGCGCGGGGGAGTGGCCCGACTTAATTATCTAATTAATTAACCTCAATCAGAACGATGAGTAATTTCTCGGTTCGCTGGCTCCTTTGCCAGCGTCGAGACTTTCTTGTCACGCCGTTGCGACCGCGGCCCCGAATTACGGATGAGTTCACGGCAAATCGATTATGTTCCCGATGCTATTGCTCGCCTCTGCTTAGGCGCAGGATGCTCAGAATCGACGGTCCTCCGGCGTTATCCTGTTTTCGCTGCCCGACCAATTTGATCCTGCGCTACTCCTCCCCCGTCTACACGGAGTCCTCTGTCCTCTTCGCCTTTATCTACGGCTCTTACGCCGATCGCGCGATAACTCGCTCGTGAAACGACCAGACGATGCGAGTTTGTCTTAGGCACTCGACTCCCTCGCCTGGAAATTGCGTTTTCGCTTGGTCCTGGATCCTCTGCAAAGGATGCCAGCGAGACGGGGCGATTGGTTGACGGTCTTTGAGCGAACCTCTGACGGGAGCTTGCTCTTTTTAATTCTTTCGAGATTGTTTGGTAATGTACCTGACTTGTATTACTCGTGGTATTTTATTTACTTACTCGTTTAGATGTTTGCTTGCGGATAATTGTTTGCACATTCCTATACGAGTATCAAGTATACTCCTGCACATAAGGGGGTCCTACTAGTGTTCATTATTTTTTAATTTGTTAATTAAAATAGTTTTTCTGTATCCTGCTGACAACATTAACATTTCTAGACTCTCCTTTTACTCATTGTCTATTTAATTTTGTACCTACAAGTACCTAAATTTTTCTAATTATAATAACAAGATATTTCGTAATAGTAACGTGTGCCTATCGTGAAATGCTTCACAGAAGTAAATGGTCCCCCAAAGTAATTAATTTCTGGCCCTGACTAGTATAGATCCATGACTGTTTCGGTGGCCCGTTCTCTATCCATCCCTGCTATTCCCACGGGATGATTTCGCTGCGGTGATCCTCGTTATAAAAATGCTCCTCGGTATTACCGGAACCACCCTCTCCGACGGCCTTATCTCATTAATGTCCTTACTCGACTCATACCGCTGCAGTGCTCGGGGGGAGAAGGGGGGGGGGGCTGCTCTGCGAGCAGAGGCTGACGTTTCGCGCTGGAATTGGTACCCCGTGTTAAATTGATATTTAGCGAAAAGTTTTTCTCCTCCGCTGGACGGGACGACCTCGTGATTTAATCAGGAAACTGACAGGAGCGCTGGGATTACTTTCATAACGAGATCAAGCCCCCTTTATTGTCCACTTAAAAGTAAATGTTTAACGTAGGAAATTATTAATATAAAATAACAACGTTGTCTGTAATTTGTCATTCCTCAATTACTTCTATGACTGATGTTAATCTAGGTGAAATTTATTATAGCTGCTCTTTGAGTATATCAACTCTACATACTCTATGAACAATGCTGCGACGTTTAGGAAGGTAACAAAGCTGCATTTTCTTGTCGCTTCCCATTGCCTTCTCCTATCATTTATTTTTATTTCCAGTGCATTTCCCTTTAATTTCCCTTGCATTTTCCTTTGATTTAATAAGAATTTCTCTTTAATTTCCTTTGCATTTTCCTTTAATTTTCCTAGCATTGCCCCTTCATTTTCTTTGTTTGTTCCTTTAATTTCCTTTACAATTTCCATTTTATTTCCTTTGCGTTTTCCTTCCATTCCATAAGAATTTCCCTTTGTATTTTCCTTTAATTTCCCTTTAATTGCCTTAGCATTTCCCGTTGCTTGCCTTTGCATTTCCTTCAATTCACCTTGCATTTACCTTCCATTTTCATTGCATTTTCCTTTAATTTCCGTAGCATTTCGATTTAGTTTCTTCTGCATTTCGCATAAGTTTCCTTTGCAGTTTGTGTTGTGGTCCCAGAGAAGACAAAATGCCGATAAACGAAAGGGCAACAATGTTGCAAATCGGAGTAAATCGATTTTTCGGGTTAGCAACATTGTTGGACCCGATTTTTGCGAAATTTTGCCTTTCCCGAGACTTTAACAATGTTGCAAATCGGAGTAAATCGATTTTTCGAGTTAGCAACATTGTTGGACCCGATTTTTGCGGAATTTTGCCTTTCCCGGGACTCCAACAATGTTGCAAATGGGAGTAAATCGATTTTTCGGGTTAGCAACATTGTCCGGGTTTCAGAAAAGGCAAAATTCCGCAAAAATCGGGTCCAACAATGTTGCTAACCCGAAAAATCGATTTACTCCGATTTGCAACATTGTTGGAGTCTCGGGAAAGGCAAAATTTCGCAAAAATCAGGTCCAACAATGTTGCTAACCCGAAAAATCGATTTACTCCGATTTGCAACATTGTTGGAGTCTCGGGAAAGGCAAAATTTCGCAAAAATCGGGTCCAACAATGTTGCTAACCCAAAAAATCGATTTACTCCGATTTGCAACATTGTTGGAGTCTCGGGAAAGGCAATGTTCCGAAAAATTAAGGGTCAACCATGTTGCAAATCGATTTACTGGGAATCCCACAAAATGAGAAGGAAATTAAAATAAAATTCTTATGAAATTAAAGGAAATTGCAAAGGAAATTAAAGGAACATACAAAGGAAATGGAAGGGAAATGCAATGGATATTAGAGGGAAGTGAAATAGATATGTACAAGAGGAAACTACTGAAGAAATTAAAGTAAATGTAAAGGAAATAACCGGGAAAGTAAAAGAAATTGAAATGAGTATTAAAGGAAAATGTTCAGAATACACTATGAAAGATCGCAATACATTGATAAATTTAATTTTGATTTCCAACTATTTATATTCTCCAAAGCTAAATTATACACCATAGCGTTCAACGTTCGATTTCGGCAAAGACCTCTGCGCGTAATAAAGTCCAACAACGAGCTGGAACGAAAATAACACATGCGAAAAATGCTCGAATTAATTCCACCTCGGTTCGCCGAGCACGATTATACATATTCCTCATGGCGGGGAAATATCGAAGGAAATTGTCAAATAAATATTCCCAGCGCGAAGCGACCGCTCGAATAGAATCCGTCC